TGAAAGGATAATTTGGTTAGTGCATTTGAATGTTTGCTGATAATTACTAAATTTAGAAAAATTTTTTTAAAAATTAAAGTTAATTATTGCTTCTGAAAGTCATTTGAGCCTGGCATAGCGCCTTCTCTATCGTATGTCCTTAAGAACTGTATGTTGAATGGGATGGATTTGAGTGATTCTGCTTTGTAGATGAGCTACAGTCATTTAGGTTGAGGCTTTTATTGAGGCTTTTCTTTCTTGTACTGAGCATTGGGATCATAGGTTGAGTAAGACACCCTCAGAATAAATGCATAATAAATCCGAAGAAACAAGGTTTTCTAAAAGGTGGAGGTGAGGATGGAGCACATGCCAGGTGGCGGGGGGCGAGGAGGGGGAGAAGGGGAGGACAATCAGTACTGTAGTAATCAGTGAGCAAACAAAGACAACTTTAAATGCAGGGATACTAAGGCTTTAAACTGGAGTGATGCTCTGGGATCTTCAGCAACTATTTTTGCCTACCTCTTAGATTTTTAATGGAAGCCTCTTTCTTAAGCATTATGCTATTTAAAGCCAAGCCATTTCAGCCTGTCTAGATCCCTGGCTAAATAGGCTTTATGTATTATTGAGTTGTTGACCACCTTTCCCAAATTTCCTCTCTCTACTCACTATCACCAGAAGATGTTGTAGGCTTTCTTTAGCAAGGGGTACTTGGAGCTTCCTTGTCATATGTTAACAGGAAGGAAGGACACTAATAGCAGGGGAAACGTATAGGAACCTTTGATTCCTATATTTCTTGTTGTTTCATAAACCACCTGAGGGTAACAAAGCAGGAACTGGTGCTACATGTATGTTGTGGTTGTTCAGTTATGTCCAACTCTTTGTGACCCCTTACCACAATACTGTCCATGTGGTTTTCTTGGCAAAGACACTGGAATGGTTGGCCATTTCTTTCTCCAATGAATTAAAGCACAAGTAAGTGATTTGCCCAGGGTCACATAACTAGTAAGTATCTGAGGTTGTATTTGAACTCAAGTCTTCCTGACTCCAGGCTCAATACTCTTATCCATTGAGCCACCTACCTGCCTCCAAGGCAAACAGAGGTTAAGTGATTTGCCTAGGTCACACAGCTATAGTAAGAGTCTGAGGCCAGGTGATTCCAAGCCTAGCATGCTATCTACTGAGCCATGTATCTGCTCTATTGCACACACACACACACACACACACACACACACACACACACACACACACACATTTCCAGGGTAGAGGGAGAGAGAAGAAAAGAAATTCAGAATGCCCTTTTCCTTGTATCGCTTGAATTCAGCAAGATGGCCACCAGGAAGCAAAGGATAGAATACCTGAGAAGCCAATTTACTAAGCATATATTAGGCTCCTACTATATGCTAGGCACTGCCCTGGCACCATTGTCAAAAATGAATAAGGCACAATCTTTTGTGAAGAGCTTCCAATTTGATAGAATAGATTGTATCTGTGTGAGGCTACGCTAAGTGCTAAAGAAGAAATACAGGCAAAGTGTTATAAGAACAAAGATGAAGGAAATGTCACTTCTGGTTGGGGGAGGTTACAAGGGATCTGTCACGGAAAGCAAAGTAGAGGATGTGTCACTTAAATTGGACTTTGAAAGATGGATAGGGTTTCAATTAGAAGAGCCTGGGGTAGCTATTTCAGAGAGAGCAAAGGAATGGTGGTGAGGAAACAGATTCCTTTAATAATAGCAAATAATCCATTTTGAAAGGAGGTTAGAACACGTGAAGAGTAGCAATCCCTGATGAGGCTGGAAAGGTAGGTGGGGATCTGCACTGTAGATGGCCTTGAATTCCAGGCTAAAGAGTTTGGTTTGTTTTTTGTAGGTAATGTACAAAATCTGAAAGTTTTCGAAGGGGGCAAGACCATCAATGATTTTTAGAAGATTATAACAGAGCTGTGGCAGAAGACATTAAAACAGGGAAAGATTGGAAAAAGGGAGCTTAATCAATTAATCAATCAACAAGCCTCTATTAGGCACAAGCTCCATGTAGGAAGTTGTGCTGGTGTTGGGAATACAAGGACAAAAAGATAATAGTCTCTGTCTTCAAGGAATTTATATTTTATTGGAGTAGATAAGATGAACACAGGTATATACAGAATAAAATTCAAATCAATAGGAGGAAGCAAGGAATTCTAAGGGTTAAAAGTGAGGAAGGAAGGAATTACAGGCATTGGGGAAGGCTAATTCAAAGGTACGGAGATGGGAAATGGTGTATGTAAGGAACAGTGAGAAAGACAGTTTGGCTAGATGGAAGAGTCGGGGAAGGGGAGTAATAGGGGAGTACAAAGGTCCAGGAGAGAGGTGATGAAGTCAGAATGAGGGAAATGGGAGAAAAGATGAGGGATTCAGTTTTGAATATGCTGAGTTTCAGTTCATTAAAAAAAAAAAGATGGAAAAGAATGCCAAAATGGAAGTAAAATATTTTGGAGTATAAGAGATGATATTCTTGGCCTTCATGTACTTTTTACAACCTGAAAGCATTGTAAGACTCTGTAGGGGTGGAGGGTGGGGAGCTGGACAAGGAGGGGGTGTCAAACAACCTCTATTTAATTTGGCCAAAATTCTTGCCCTATAGTATTTCCCATACTTCAAGGATCCACAGTTTTCTTAGGATGGGTACTCTCTCAGTCCAAACAAATCTTAACCTCTCTGTGCCCAAGAAGATAGTACCGAAATACAATGGGCAACATTTTTTTAAAATGAAATCTTAATTTGATGGCCAGTCTTTTGATCATCAGCCCTTTCAAACTTCGCTCATCTGTCCTCAAATGACAGAAATTCAATCTGTCACTGGGCCCATGCTCAAAGCTCTTCCAGCTCAGTGGGACTTGCCAGAACTTGTATTTTACTGGCATCACCAGCGGCAATCTAGGGTCGTCTCCCATATCATGACATTCTAGGCAGAGGAAACCATGCAACCAAATGCCAGCCCCCTATTTCAGCAGAATCAAGAACCATAACCAATTGAACATCATGCAAGGATGGTGTCTGTTAGAATCAATTAGAATTTGGCCACTGCTACTTTCCATGAGACCCAAGGATTCACCAGCATTTAAATGGCACTAGATCTCAAAAGTTATTTTAGACCTTCATTTTAGACTGCTTTGGCAAGAATGGGGTTGTGCAATCTACTCACATCCTCCAATGGCAGAGTAAAAGAGGTGACTAGAATAAAAGAAAATATTAACATTTTAAGATCTGCATGAACCTATACAAATTAAGCAGGTATATGCTTCTGGTCTTAGCTTCCATTTTTTTTATAGCATCATTTGCCCCACGCGTTAGCACATTAAAAGAACAAAAACAAAGAGCCTCAAAGGTTATCTAGTTAATCTCCAGGTTTGAGTGTGGATTAGTAAATGAGGAGATTGGATTAGATGATCCCTATAATTCCTTCTGGGGTGGCTAGGTAGCTCAGTGGATAGAATGTTAGACCTGGAATCAGAAAGACTCCTCTTTCTATGTTCAAATCTGGCCTCAGACCCTTTCTCACTATCTGACCGTAGGCAAGTAAGTCACTTAACCTCGTCTGCCTCAGTTTCTTCATCTGTAAAATGAGCTGGAGAAGAAAATGACAAACCACGTTATCTTTGCCAAGAAAACTCCAAATGGGGTCATGAAGAGCTGGACACAACTGAAAAATGACTAAACGACAACAACCAAAAATAATAATTCTTTCTACTTCTAATATTCTGTGACTATAAGAATCTATCTGATATAATAATAGCTAGATCACTTTAAGTTTTACAAACACTTTATATATTATTATCTCATTTGATCCTCAAAACAACTCTGGCAAGATAGATGCCGTTATTATCCCCATTTTATAGATGAGCAAACCAAGGCTAAGAGAGAAGTTAAAGTGACTTGTTCCAGGGTCCCCCAGCTAATGGGTATCTGAGGCAGGATTTGAATTCAGCTCTTCCTAACTTCAAGTACTAACTTTTAACAGCATTTACCTCACAGGGTTTTTGTGAGGATCCCATGAGATAATGAAATAACACTTGCATTGTAAGTCTTAGGAGCATTATAGAGATGCTATTATTGCTGTTGGTGGTGTGTGTATGTACATATGTGCATATCAACTAAATGATAACGCATATTCATTTTATAATAGTTTTTCCGTGGTGGCCAATGGTTCAATGCTGTTGAAAACAAATCATAACAAAATCCCACCAAATTATTTTTTTATATTTCTCATCTTCCTGAGTTCAAATCTGGCCTCTGACACTTCCTAGCTGTGTGATCCTAGGCAAGTCACTTAATCCTGTTTGCCTCAGTGTCCTCATCTGTAAAATGAGCTAGAGAAGGAAATGGCAAACCAGTCCAGTATCTTTGCCAGGAAAATCCCAAATGGGTTCATGAAGAGTTGGAGACAACTCAAAAATAACTCAACAACAATAACAACAGAATTTCTTATCACAGTTTTTTCATGGTGGTCAAATGGTTCAGCACTGTTGAAAACAAGTCAAAACAAAATTGTACCAACTACTTTTTTTTTTACATTCTCCCCATAAATGAAACAACCTACTCTAGAAACCAGTTCCACAAAGCATCCTAACTTTACTTTGGAAAGACATTAATAGCTACAACTAACAGTACTGGCTTGGAAGGTGACTAATAAGCATGGCTTGTGTGACCTTCTGCGTCTCTGTCACTCTAGAACTCAAGGTTACTTGATTCTCTGGGTTTCTAGCTCCCTACTTAGAGAAGAAAAGTCCCTGCCTCCAGTCCAGCTTTTTACCCTTTGCTCCAAGGGGAGCTTTTTCAGTCTAGGTAAGTTGCCTGCCCGGTTTCAAAGTCAAAAATGAATGTGAAAATCTGGGCTGCCAGTCTTTCAACATTCTGAACTGTAGGCCTAAAAAGATTACTTTCATTATTTGCTTTGTTTGATGATTGACTATAAGTCCTACTTCCTAGGAACCCTATTACTTTAGAGGTTTGTTTGATTTGCTGTTGTTGTTTTTCCTTTCAGGGGAGGGAGTTATTTTGAAGTGCTTTGGTCCTCGGATGTGGAGCTCTATTCTGGCTGTCTACTCACCCCTAGCTTTGTGTCAATGAGCTGCATTTCAGGATCTGTGCAGGAGGAACATCGCACTGACTGACACAACATAATTTGGAGCCATTACAATGTATTGTGTGTAGGACACTACTGTGGGGCTGTTAATATGCAGAATTTTGCATAGTATGAATGCTAATCACTTTGACGATGATGCTATTCATACAATATGTAATACTTGCTAAACAAAATTATGAAACATAATTACTGCTCAGGCACAGTTGCTGCTTTCAGTCCTCAAAAACCCAGTCATTTAAAATTGTGTTTTCTTTAAATAAATGGCAACAATCCCCACTAAAGACTATGGGCCTAGATAATTTCCTTTTTGAAAAAAGGAGCCTTTTTATCTTTAGTGAGTGACAAAAACATCCCTTTATGAAAGGTTTATAACTCAGCCATTCAAATGTGCTTCAGGCTGAAATTTGGCATACAACTTCTCATCCTGGGAGCACAGATTTTATTTTTCAAAATTTTAGGAGAAATTGGTTTGGCTGGTTTTTAGTCCCAGGGAATCAAAGAGGGGAGCCCTTCCCCCTGTTTTCAGATAGAATAATGACAGACCCTTAATTATACGGTATCATTGCCTGAGTTCCATATAATATAGAAAGTAGCCTATACATACATATGTCCACATGTGTGCAGCATATGGGTTTATAAACATACACATACAGAATCAGTAAAGAGAAAAGCAAAGATTCCCTTTCATTGTGCCTTTTAGTTGAACTAAAGAGCAAATCAACAGTTTCTAAGTCACAAAGTGATGCCCTTGTACTGTTCCCCAAGGAACCACTCCTGATCAAGACAATTTCTTCCCTCTGGCAAGAGTATAAATTAAGAGGAACCAGGGTGGCAGTGTAACCCTGCAAACAGCCTTTCACCATCATGCTCCCCCTGATCTCTGTGAGGTATTTAAACAGGCTTTGTCAGGTTCATCAATTTCAGAAAGGCCAAAAACAAAGCAAAGAGAGGAAATTCCACTCCCCACCCACCAGAACAAGGCTTGGGATTTCAGTTTGCCACAGAAACGACTCTGGGGGAGAAGTTTCAGAGGAGTGTGATCAGATTCGCCAAAGAAAAGAAAGGACAGATAAGATGGAGCCTGTGAAATGAAAGGGTCCCCATTGAAAAATCCAGTCTTCAACTGTGTACATGTTTCTCCCTAGATGCCAGGTACCTCATTAGGACATTTTAAAATAAACAAAATGTGGATCTTGAATGCTGAACTACAATAAATCAAGGTTAAGGGACATCGTCATTCTAACAAATATAGTGACAGGCTAAGATCAAGGGATGTCTTGACATTCTCCTCAGAAAGGTCAATCTAGCTGGTCTGCAATGTAAAAATGAAGACTCTGGCATCATTCCATGGCAAAAGGTCAGACACAAGCTGATTGGTGATAGAATTATCAAATTAACCAATCGATGTGTGTGAGTAATAGATGTAAGCAATCCTCTGGGAGAGCCACAGGGCAAATGCCAACTCATCAATAACACATCGCCTAGAAAAAAAGATCTTTTCAATCCATGTCCTTTACCTTACCAGCGCTGGCCAGACCATCTTTAAGTATAGATGATGTATCCACATTATACATTAGAAGTATAAGCAACGTAAGGAGCTCTTTTGGTACACTATTAGTCTGTAAATAGTTTCTGCAAATCTGTGCCGAATAACAACCATCCTGATTTAATTTTTTTTTTTTTACAAAAAAAGGACCACAAAGCTACCCACTGTGGAAAAGCATGCATGTAACACATCCCCTCAGTTTCAAGTGAATTTAAAAAAGAGACTGTTCCTTTGCTTGCTCCAGTCTGACACAGGCATAGGCTATATTAACAACAACCCAAAAATCATTTCACCTGTGACAGGTACAGGTACCTAAATCCTATGCTTCATTGTATGCCGAACCCCTGCTTTCAAAATAAATAAATAAATAAAGATGCACCTATTATCACAGCCACATGAAAATATCTTTCAGAGGTATTATCACAGTGGGGGTGATAACAGTTCTTGCTACTAATTAAGGATTTACTCTGCCATCGATAAGTGAGCGTAAGTCCTATTAATGTTAATGGGGTTACATGCCTCTATCGAAGGAGGCATAGATCCCTAAGTGAGTGCGATTATCACCCTGCCTGTGAAAATCCCCGAGTGCTGTTTACCTAGGACTTTGATTATTAGATGCTTCTCTGAATAACTCCAAGACAAAACTCTAACTTTGGCTGGAGTAAATGCTGTGTTCAATTTGTAGGGGCTCCAGAGAAAGAGGATGGATTTTTCTTCATTTTCCTCCTCACACTATCTGGGTGGGACAAAGAGTCAACAATCTAGTTCAGGGGCACCTTTGGATACTTGCAAACTTCCAGGAAGTAATGTGGCTTTTTTTTAAAAAAACTTTTCAAGTGTCTTTGGAGTTTTGTAGACATAATGGGTATTTTTTTTTAAGAGTTCTCCTTTGGTACTACTTACAAATTAACATGCTTAATAGCCTCATTCTGCAAGCAGTGCTTAAGGGCTTGGTGAGATCAAAATATTATTACTATTTCTATTAATAATATTGTCTCAAATTTTCATCTCACCTTTTCTCTGAAGGTGAAATAGAGTTCCTGATGGCCTTTATTAAAAATGATTTTCAAGTGTTATGATTATGGTGATAAGTTTCTCATCCACTTTTTTTCTCTTGAAGAAGCTGCATGGTCTAGCTTCTGCCGAGGAAGCAAAGAGTGTGAATTCTCATCTTGCTTTTATCCTCAACTGGCTGTACATTTTGGGTAAATTATTTTTCCTTCCTATATAAATGTTTCTTCATAGGGAGCAGGAATCAGATAAGCATGAATTATGGGATACTGTCAAAAGAACCAAACCATTCTGTATTTTCATCTGGAACAATGAATTAAAAAAATTGAGTGAAAAATGCTAATGAAATTGCTTTCCTATTCTCAGCAGATTTGTTCAGGACATGGTATGCGTTTGCCAACTCTTGCACCAGCTACCAAAATACTCTATCCCTACAATTCATTTCTTGCAAATAGATCCTACAGTAGAGACAAAGTAAAAATAAAGGACTGATAAATTGGACGACCAGATAAAAACAGTTGTTGCCGCAATAAAGACCTTTATGTGTGATGTATCTGCATAGAGTTCAGAACTTGGGTTTCTATTGACTTTTTCAACTGGCCCTAACTACTGATCTTACAGAAAGAAAATGTTTAAAGGTTGTTGGGTCCAGCAGCCCCTTACACAATATGAACCCAGGGTCTCCAAAGGAGGGGCTTGTCCTCAGAACTATGAATTAATGTAATTTTTTTTCTGTTGAAAAAGATGCAAAAAGCAAATGAGCAAGAAAATGAACACATTTAAGGGTTTGATTCTTTGCACCCAGTTCAGGCCAATTGAATGACTGCATATAGACTGTGTTATGCGTTCCTGGGCTACTCTTTCTGTCTTCAGAGGTTCTGAGTTCATGTGAATGCCCTTCCATTTTATCTGGATTAAAAATGACGACAACCAATGAGGTCTGGTTTCGGAGGCTGTAAGTAAGCTGTCACCTTTCCCCAAAACTCCATGGAAATATGGAATCTCAAACCAGCTCTGAAAAAGCTCATGGCTCTGGATTAATGAATAGCATTAACAAAGCAGTGAGGTGAGGAAGTGCGGCCCCCTTACAATGTTGCTATATATTGCTCAACAGATCCACAAGAAAAATGAACAGAAGGAACTGTTAAGGATAGGAGGAAGGGAAGGGAGGCAAACTGGCTCTTAGAGGATGATTTCCAATGGCATGAAAATATTTAGCAATTTTCTTTCAAGGCTCTACTTGGTAATTATTTAGTAATATAAAATTGAAAGGCTGTGAAAAATTGATCAGGCAAATAATAGGTTCAAAATTTATAGGTAAAATGTCTCTGTGTTTAATATGAGATTGTTTACCTATCCACGAAACAAATGTATACAGGGAAAGTCACTGTCTTCAGTGATGTTCAGACACAAAATCTATAATACCTTATTACTCTGACTTCGCCTTGTACAAAGATAACTTTTTTTCCCTTGATGAAAAAGACCCTATTTCATGAATATGGCAAAGCAACTCTCACTCCCCTCTATCTTCAAAAAAAAAAAAGAAAAGAAAGAGCTAATGGTTTTGCTGAACCCCATGGGTTTCTAATTAAAACTTCTCTACCACAACCTTTGGCTACAATGTTCCTGAAATCTACTGATAGCTCTAGATTTGAGCAGATGAAAAATCAATAAAAAGCAGATCAACAATGCTGAGGTATTGGATTGGACCTCGATGTTCTGTTTGAGTCTGACTCATAACACAATATTACCAAACAGGCATGTACCACTCAGCAGGGAAACTCTAAAAATCTAATCATCTCCCTCTACTCTGAAGCAAGTCAATTTATAACATGTCGTGTGGAGGTTACTTTGATGCACTAGAAATGGCCACAGTCACATGAATCTGACTAGAGAACAAAATCATGGGTTTTTTATGGAAGCAGAAATTAGTTGGGTGGCACATACAATTAGGACAATGTTTTAAGTAGGGACAAACCACAGGAGTTCTAAGGTTGGAATATTTTTTTTTGTCTTTATTGAGGTGGAGAGAGCTTAATGCTGCATTCTACTATTGTGGCTTTTGATGGAATATTTCCGTTCACTATTACTGGGATGCTGGCTTTATCTCGGATATCTTTTTTTTTTCCTGTTTATTTATACAACAGACAGTATTTTCTGTGCAGGCATAACCATCTGTTTTCAACTGGCACATCCTCATCCTGTGCTTTCAATCTGCAACTCTTCTGATGAAGGTATCTCTCCTCAGTCTACTTAGTAGTTGTGGGTTGATATATGTCAGTATGCAGCTTGATGTCATGGAAACAAAAGCATTGTAAAATTAATCAAACAAAAAGTGTGGAAACTGCAAGTAGATTATTTGTGTTTGGTCTATCAGTGTTTTTTTGGGGGGATCCATTACTAGCCAAAAAAAAAAAAATTAGTTCCAGTCCAGTTCCTTGATGCACATCAGATGTCCATGCAAGAAAAATAAAAAGAAAAAAAAGAAAAAGCCTCTTTGACACTCAAGATCATGGGGAATTCAAAGTTAAATTTAGCAGAGATATTGTGCTGTCATTGCCAAAGGAAACGACGGACGGGCTGCTCCAGCAATCAGGCAGAAAGCAAGCCTATCTTCACTTTTAGCATGCCTGGTTTTAAATTTGAGCATCTTTTAAAAAGAACAGCTCAATTCCCTATCCCTACTCACACATCTCATACCCGCTGGTGCTTTACACATTCCAACAGTGCCTCGATATGTAAAGCACCCTTTCAACATACATAGCACCAAAGGAGTGATAATATAAACTCAAGCAAAATCACATTTCAACAACGATGCCAGCCACACAAGAGTCCTACTGTTAACCCAG